GGCACTGTTGCAATGCCAGGATGGAAGCAAAAGAGGATCCAAGGAGGACACTTCAACAGCAGATTAGGAAAAGGGCACAGAGATTCTCATGACTGGATTCATCAGCCAGACCTGCAGTTACACTTTTGTATTTGATTTTCCTTTCAGATTTTGACTGCAGTCCTTCTAGGACTCGTCCTGACTCCAGCCCTTGGTGAATATGTGAGTACAGTGACCAGTTCCCACATTCACAGCTGCTGTTTCCATGTCCCCTGCTTTGGGAGATCTCCCTGATTCTTTCATTTTCCTAAAGCTTTGGGGAGACAACTCAATCACTCGAAAGTCAGTCCAAGTGTACTTTCATCTGGTTTTCTAGGCTCAGAAGGTGGAAGTAAGCAAGAAAATCTCCACTGCTGGAGGCTACCAAATTATGACCATGAATAAATACTGGCTGGTGGCAAGTGTGGAGCAAAGGACCCACCATGGGTCATGGAAAACCCTCTGGAACTACGACACGGTGAGTGGTGGGGAAGGTGCTTTTGGAGACTCTACGAGGCCACTGGCTCATACACTGAGTAAAAACTGATTTGTTACCTTTTTAATATGGACTTAACTCCAGCACTGATGACTGAAGGAATGAGTTTGATGACTGGTCAATAACTCTGTTTCACAGGGTTTTATGGCAACCAAAGTGCTGCCAGAGAAAGCCTGCTACATTTCCATCATGAACAGGACCGAGATGCCCAGCTTTGATGCACTTCCCCAGCTGGCTGCAGAGAGCAGGGTAAGACTGAAAAAGAGGAGTTACTTGAAAAGTTGTACTTAATGCAAAGTAAACTGACACCCTAGGCTATTTTCAAAAGCTTCTAAACCAACAGGTACTGCAAAAGTCATGTTCATCACACCACTGATTAGGCACTTGTATTGATTTCAGTGGCACTTTGCATCAATCTGTCTTGAAACCTTTGAACAATTAGAACACCCTTGTTCAGATGCTTCCAGTGGAGGGTTTTCATGTTTTGCCGATGCCCTAGATCACTTAGATTATTCTTATGACTTTTATAACAATTAAAACTGGGGATATGCCTGGGCATGGAGCAGATCACAGCACGGATCTTGCTGAGTGCTGGCATTTGGTGTTTAGAAACACAACCGTCCAAGACCACCTGCAAAGGAGATTCTGTTCACCCTCATCAAGAGGAATGTCCGGGACCTCGAGTCTTATGGACCAGACACCTTCTCCATGTGCAGAGGACTTACAACTTACGTGGCTTATGAAGTTCAGGGTGAGTACCAACGAGTGAATTCTGAGTGTTGCCGACCTGGTGGTTCTTTCCCTCGGGCAGTGACTGCTGCACAAATTGCTCCTCTTCCAACTCGAGATGGACAGAAACCAGGAGTGGCAGCTGTGGGTGTGGAGATTGGTAGAAATCAGCTGTGGGTGCCTTAATTGTGTTTTGGTCACTTGCAATAGAATTTTCTATTGATGGGAAAAAGGACATTTGTTTTAAATGTATCCAAGGGAACTGAGTGTAAAACTGAGGAGTTCATCCTGAACACCATCAAAGTGTTCTGGGACTTCCTGCAAGCTGATTGTCTCCAACCCTGTCATGGAAAGCTGCTTTACAGCTCGGGCTCAGCTGTAGCATGGCAGCATTGCCCTCTACTCCCTGCTTGCTTTGGCACCTGAGGGGGCTCAGTGGGGTTCCAAAGGCAAGTGAAACGTGCCAGGTGCTAGGGGATGTCTACAAATGCACAGATCACTCAACAGCATCTGAGCCAGAAGCTCAGGGTAATTTTTTTTTTTTTTAATTTTCTTGTTTTTCAAGGACCACCACTCAGCCTCAGATCATGCATTAGGCTTGATGCCCTTCAGTATTTGGCCCTTACCTACTGTCACGACAATAACTATGCCTGAAAAAGATCCTGTTCTTGAGCCTTGTGTGGATGTTCCAGCTGCAGCTTTGGAGCTGCTGCCCAAAGCCAACCCCAGTGCCCTTCTTCCCTGGCATGTCCCCTTTCCAGCGATTCCTCCTTGAGGATTCAGATCCTAAAACAGATCAGTTGCTGACCAGACCTTTCAATTAAATCACAGATTGACTCCAACTTGCTTGTCGTTTCTCCACGCTTTGTTTTTCATGAACACCCCCAGAAATACATTTTGATTGTCTCTCTTTCGCCCCTTTTGAGCCCTTCAAATGCTCTTTTCAGGGCTCTCAACTCTGGGCACACCCAGAGTGCTGGGCAAGCCCCGGGGTGTGTACCTTACAAACAAGGCTTTCAGAGCTACCACCTTCCTTTCCCTGGGCAGGGAAAGATGCCTCACAGCAAAAATCAAAAGGCAGAAAGAAATAAGGACAAAGCAATGAATTTGCTTTTATAGGCCAAGAGGAGTCTCCTTTCCTGGAGGTTTCCCTTTCTGGGATTTACAGAGCTGTTCTGTTCCTAAAGTACAGCAAGGAGGGGTCCCTGCTGCTCAGGATGTTAAAATTCAGATTATTTCCTCTTCTCTACCAAAAAGGGCAGGATGCTCTGGCTTATCCAGGTGAATACAAACCTATCTAGCACAAACACCAGTCATATGAAGTTCCTCAGCTTTTGGCATCCTCTCACTGGTCCCACAGGCTTCATTCTGTAGGGGCTTGAAAGGATGCAGAGTTCCCTGAGGCACCTCCTGGGGAAAAGCATCTGAATTACCTGGATGAGCGCACAGCAGTCCCAGCAGAGGAGAGACACAGGCAGGAGTTTGTTGCTGCCAATCTTCCCCTTTCTTGGTATGACTCGAGATCTTTTAATTCCCTCACAGACCATCAGTTCTCATTTTGCACAGTCTGAGGCAAAAACTGAGAGAATCAAGTTTAGGAGGGACTTTAATTTCTTTTTATTCATTGTACAGTGTCATAACAGCATCTCTCAGCTCTTGTCATGCCCTACTTTGCCTTCTCCTTGGCATTGCTCAAACTCCCTTTCCAGTAGGGACTGGAAAGAAACTTCTTAGTAGTTGTTTATTCATTTAATGCCAAACATTGAGTGAAGGAAAAGGGACCTTCAGCCATCCCCTGAACCAAAGCAACTTCACAGTGGCAACAAAACTACACCTGTGGTGGTTTCTGCAGAACTGGAGCAGAATCCATCTGAAGAAAGAGTCAAGACAAGGCTTCAGATAAACATGATGCTTCAGGTTTTATTGCTTGTTATCAAGTGGAGCTGTTTCTGCCTTGTTAGCCCAGCCCAGAGTGGGGCCTGCCAGCTCACCCTCTGTGGACAGATCTGCTCCACGGGACTGGGGAGACAATCCTGAACAACAAAATCAGCCAGAACAGCCTCAGCAGGGCAGAAAATTGTTGGAGTGCCGCAGGTGACACTCAGTGGCAGAGAGCAGTGCATGGCAGATGTCCACAGAGCCATCTCCCTGGCCCTGATGTGCAGTGATCTGGGATTTCAGAAAGCCACAGCTGCACCTTCTGCCTTTTGTCCTGCAGAATCCAAAGTGTGGAACTAAAGGCAGCAACCAACACTCAGTCAAAGGAGAGCTGTAAACACAATTAGGAGGATTGTTTGACAGCACATCACGGGCTGGAGAGGGAAAGTTTACCAGTTATCACTCCAGTTTGGAGCACATGTCCTCCAAGGAGGAGCAGGATCAGTGATGGAGGGTTTGCTAATGGATAAATGGTCACATTCTTCATGTTCACAGCACTTTGACAGGGACAAGTCAGACACTGCAGTTCAACACGGTAGGATTTATCTTTAAATCCTGTAGGACTACATGAAATGGAGGCAGCAAACCCAAATCTTGCCTTCTGTGCAGCTCTGCTCCCTCCTGCTGGGCACCTTTGCCTTAAAACCAGTGCAAACCAAACCTTAGAAGATTCTGATATCCCTTTAAACAAAGAGAGGTTCAGCAGTGCTGTTTGCATATTCACTTGCTCCAAGCGAGGTGCACTTTTTTAGATAAT